CCTCCCATCTGCTGTGCATTAGCAGACAAAGAAAAAGGAGGAGGGGGAGAGAACAGCAAAACAAAGGGGGGGAATAAAACGGGATTCCTGAGTCAGACTGTTCCCAAAGCAGCTCCTTGTCCTTGCAAAGCCTGAGCCCACCAAGCCCACTGAGCCCACTGGCTGGGCAGAGGACAGTGGCACTGGCCAGGGACAATATTGCCCGTGGCGCTTCCCAGCTCCAGCCCAGCTCCTTGCCCAGACATGGTGAGATCTGCTGTGACTCAAATCCCTGCGGAGCAGCACCTGGCAACCCCCTCCACACCCAGAGCTGCCCAACCACGGGCCCCACTGAGCAAATCCCCACAGGCTAAATTCATAATTTCCTCTGCTTCTCATCCCTCCTCAGATTTTCCTTTGCTTCACACACTTCATACCTCCCTTCCCTGACTCATCTTCCCTTGCAAATAAAAACCCCTTTCGCTGTCCCTTCACTGCTCCCCCTTTGCCTCTCTTTGCTCATGCTCCCACCTTCTCTCCTCACTGTCCCTCAACACCTTTCATCTCCATCTACTTCTTGCACTTTGTCCTGCCCCATCTCCACCTCCTCCATATTCCTTTCTCTGCTCTGCCCAGGTGGTGCCCCCTGGGCTCTTTCCAGGAGGCAGAGGGCTTGCAGCTCTTTGACAGGGCACTCACACAGTAGCAGGGAAGTTCAGCTCAGCTTCTGAACTGGGCCATGAAGATTATCCTTCTAAACATGACTTGCATTTTCAGCCAATGTTCTGACCCATGAAACACATCAGAGTTACTTGTTGGGGGTCTCAAGGGTCCTGTCCCTGGCCACCCATCCCACCCTGCTCTGGAGCCAAGGCAGAAGGAGCATTGTGCCTGCAACTAATATTCTGGATGGGACCAGCAGCCATGAAACATGTCAAGTGAGGAGCTGCTGCAGCTGAGGAGCAAACAGAGCATCTTTCCTCTTGTCCCTGCTCCACCACTGTGGTGTAAACACCAGCCAGAAGCAAAGGGAAAAGAGCCTGAGACCTTCCTACATATAGATGCCACACGTGCTGTGTGCCACCCTGCCCCATGATCCCTCTGGATCACAGTCCCTTCATTCTGCAAGTCCCATCCGGCATCACCAACCCCATATGCACCAAACAAAAGGCACCAAACACAAGGTGACAGGAGACATGGCACTGCTACCACACATGACATGCCAGGGTGGACAAAGACCTGAAGGTGGAGAGCAGCATTGTGTGTCCCTGCAAACCCAAGGGTCCTGCAGACATGCCTGGGGACTGTCAGCTCCTGCTGGGAAAAACACAGGAAGGACAGAGCTCCCCAGCCTGCAGGCACACTCCTGACCCCAGGCTTGGCTGGGACACAAGCAGTCATTCAGAACGGAATAGGTGTGGACAAGTCTGACCCCAAGCAATAACCAGGGAGCCTGTGAAAGTGGCAGCAAGCAAAGACCTCAGCTTGTAGGCTGAGGGCAGGGAAGGGCTGTGTGGTTATTAGCAGACGGAGCTGAGCTGGCTCCTCAATTACAGCTGTTTTATCCCCTGTCTGGACTTCCAACAGCTTCCTCCAATCCCTTCGTGACTCAGTGTCTTGGCATGGAGAACACATACCTGAGAGGCTGGATTTTGAAATCCACCAGGGACATTTCACCTTCCTAAAATAAAGAGTGGGCAAAATATTTTCAAACTCCTTCCAAAAAATGTGCACACACAAAAAAATACCACTCCTTAATAAGCACATGTTGTTGGATCTCAGCTGGTTTTGGGCTGGGGTAGATTTTCCTGGTTATAATCATGCATCTGTTTGCTGACTGAATAGCTGTATTTATTTTTTGACATGTTTACTAACCACCTCAAATACCTTCTCTACCTGTAATTGTGGTGCAGCATACATATTATTTTTTTTCAGATTTCTTCATTCAAGTGGGTTGTGTTATTCCCAGGCCCTGCGCTGTGGTTTGTGGAGTGTATTCGTGGTTTGAGGGTATGAAGCTTTGGACTCAGGTGACCCTGAACTATGGCAGACCGGTGAGGAGATACTTGGTGGAGGCAGGGGGAAAATGGAGTCAATTTTTCAAGCTATTTGTACATGGGTGCTCAGAGCTTTAACATCCTTTATTTTCCTTTCTCAAGCAGTCTCTCATGAAAGCGTTTCCTCCCATCTGTGCCCATCTATCTTCCTCCTTTCCATGTTTTATTGAAGTTGGTCAAAGTCATGCTTTCTAGTGCATGTGTGCCCTGAACCACAGGCAAAGAGGAGAGGCCTGAAAATGCAGCAGAGCAGGGGCTTGCTGCATTCCTGGCACCCAAATGCTGCGATGCTTTCCCCGGGCACCCTATAAAGAATCGTCCCCTTGGCACGGAGATCAGAGGGCTCTGGAGAAGCGGGGCTGGCAGAACACCTCCAGCCCCGCCCTGCAGGGCTGTGCTCCTCTCTCCTGCCCTACCTGACCTGAGTGTCTCCTTGCATTGTCCACCCCCTGAAGGTTAGCAGGATGTGCTCCCCTCCTTTGTCTCTCTGCTGGAATCTCAATGATTTGCTAATCTGGTCACCTGCCACCCTCCCCCAAGACCTCTCCAAACAGTGCTTTTGCAATTCCCTGCACCACACAAGCCTCCTTTAATAGTTTGACATTTGTTTCAAGATGTTTGGAGAGCGTTGCTGCCTGGAAGAGACCCTGAACCCGGGGCACCAGCTCCTCTAATCACCAGCCTGCTGGGTTAGTGCTCAGATTCGGCATTTTTTTCTTTAACTAAACAAAGCAAACTGAGCAATTCCTAAAGGTATAAAGCCATTCCAAGACAATCACAAAGCAGGTCTGAAGCTGTTCATCCATATCCTTGCAGCAGAGCTCTTTTTGGGCTCCAGGGGCTCAATCTGCATCCAACCTCATTTCCAGGGGCCATGAACAGCATCCTCAGGCTGCCTCTGTCTGCTCAGCCCCATCCACAGCCTCCCCAGGAGACACCCTTCTCTCCTCTCTGCCCTGGGCTGTTTCATCTGGCTTTTCCTCTCCAGACAGGAAAACCAGGGCTGCAAACCAGGCCACCAGCTGAGACTTTGTGCCTCATGTCACCTCAGAGCAGCGCTGGGACAGCTTGTGGTCCAGCCACCCCCTCACAGAGTGTGCTGAGGCCACGTTTACGCCAGGCTGCAGTGCCCACTTGAGCAGGAGGAGGTCAGTCCCAGAAAGGGCTGTCCAGGTCTGCGATTCATTTACAGGAGCTGTAAAACTGCCACCTGGACCGTGCCTTTACAGCCTTGGACCATGCTGGTGTCAAAGGCGTTCGGTGCAAGAGCCAGCTGGAGCCAGGCCAGTTTTAGATTTAATCCTGCCTAAGAATACAAATACAGGGTCTGTATTTTGAATGAGCGACAGGCGCACCACGGACATTATTAAGCCTTCCAAAAATAAACCCCTGCCAAAGTGATGGGAGCCAGATTTTTTCCTGGAAAGTATCAGCACGGGGTGAGGGGTGCTAGTGGGGCAGTCCCCTCACAGGCCCCTCTCCAACAGCTGCTCTGCATCAGGAGCAGCTTCTTCCCTCTGCCCCTTTGCTTATTTAAGCCCCAAAAACGCCAGTGTGGCTCTTCCGAGCAGCTCAGAGTCCACCCAGCACTAAATCAGCTCTGAGGATTCGCCTTCAGAGCACTTTGGATGAATCTGATGGAAAACCGCTCTGAAATACACAGAATTACACAGGGCTGTGCCTCACGCGCTGGTGCCGGCTCGTCCTCGGCCCTGCCGCTCTCTGCTCGCCCCATCTCCTGCCCGGGGCTGTGAGGGCCCGGCTGGGCCGTGCGGTGAGCCCCGCTTCCCCTGCGGGCGGGAGGGAGCCGCCGTGGGCTGGCCGCCCCCTCCCTGCTCGGGACCGCCGTGACGGGACCCGCTCTTTGTGTCCCCCGTCCCCAGCTGAGGGGTGTGAGAGA